TGAGGCGCATGAACGTGCCTTCCAGGAGGGGGAGGTAATGTCACGCCCTTGGACTGCCCCTGTGTTCCGTGTCTTGTGTTTTGTTCCCCATGACCCAGTTTCTCCCATGTTTGATTATGTTCATTGTTTCCAGGTGTTCCCCATTTAGTTCCTGAATTTAAGCCCTGTGTTTTCCTGAGTCCTGCGTCCAGTCTTATACGTCTAACACCTGTGCTACGTGTGTGTTCCTGCCCATGTATGTCTTTATGTGGATTAATAAAAATTGTTCCTCGTTACCCTCCATCGTCTCCGCACTCCTTTGTTCCGACACTGTAGGCAAACCATGACGACTGGTGAGGGGGAAAGGGTGACAGAGTGCAGAGGGCCCAGAGGTTTGTGGGGCCCCAGCGAAAGTGATTTCGCGATCACAAACTTGCTTTTGAACATGCTTTTGATCAGCGCAGTCGGTGGAGAGCAACTGCGCTCAACTGCACAATCCAACACAACCGCCTCGCCGTCACGAGACTTTTTTGGCACACGTCAGCATGACATCAGAGCAAGGCGGACGTAACTCAGACACTTCTCTAACCGACATGCATCTCGCGATGATCACCGGTGATCGGTTCTGCGCAGATTTTGTTAATCTCAAACGAGCCTACTGAGAAAAGCTCAGAAAACTGATGACATCAGCCACGGCAGCCAAACACCACTGCAAATGAACGCATATATGTCACTTTTTTAGGCCTTAAATACAAATCAAAATAATATAATAATAATTAATCAAAATGATAATAATAATAATAATAGCAATAATACTTCCTGGGACGTAACACCCACACAGAATTAGGATTTATTATCATAGTCTCTCTGTATTTGTGTTGTTGTTTCTGCTGAACTGAGGGAGTAAAGAGTGTGTTGTTCTGCAGGCTGAAGGATTGTGACATTACAGATGAAGGTTGTGCTGCTCTGAGTTCAGCTCTGAGATCAAACTCCTCACACCTGAGAGAACTGGATCTGTCTTGGAATAAACTAGGAGTTGCAGGTCTGAAGCTGCTCTCTGATGGACTGAAGGATCTTTACTGTAAACTGGAGACACTGTGGTAAGATCATATGTGAATCTTAACATGAAAATGCAAATGTAAATTTGATTATTTCTGAATGCAGTGTACTTCACAAATCTTGGCACCTTTGGTAAATATGAGCAAAGCAGGCTGTGGGAATTTTTTTTATAGTTTATTAAATGTGTCTATCATTCACAATGTTCACAAAATATTCAGTCACCAATAATTTTATTTGCAATTTTCACCTTGCATCTTAAATATAGCACAAGAGCAACAAGAAAAATATGTGTACAAGACAGTCACCAAAAAAATCTACAACAGTTGTCATAGTGAGTTTGTCTGATCATTGATCATCATGAAATGCAAAGCCAATCCAACAGAAAAAAAGATCAATTATTATCATAAGAATGAGAAGGGGTGTCAATAATTTTGGCACACATTTAAGAAAAACAATCACCTATTTTTAATTTAAAATAACATTTTTGTGAATATTTTTAATGAAATACTATGAGGATAAACTGCAAACACAATTTTCCAAAGTCTGTTTCGCTCATTTACCAGTGGAATATACAGATTAACTTGTTTCTCCACACCATAACATAGGCAACACTTCCATTCACTCATGGTTTTTTATATTAATAATGGTGAAGTTTTGGTTGAATGAGAAGAAGAATAAATGCATCACATACAAGAAATGTATTTTTACCTACAACTCAACAAACTCAGCAAATTTAGTCTGGTGCTTTACAACAAATCTAATGTAGACCTCGTGTTCACTACTGTTGAGATTGTCTCAGTGTGTGACACAAGAGTGAGATAGGGCAACATTAATTTTTCTTTCTGTCTATTATTAATAATGCTTTTCTATTACGGATTTTACGTTTTTTAGGACATGCTGCTCTGTACCACTGCTGAATACATTTAACACACCATAATTCAGTAATATTGTTGAATTAATGATTTCATATTTTTCTACATCCTGATTCTCCAGATGATGCAGTGATTCTGATTCATGTGTCATATTCAGTTGCTCTGTCTTGATTTCTCTCTTTGTTGATCAATAATATTAATTTTCAATAATATTAACGCCTAAGTATTAACACTTCTGAGTAAAACATTGTTCATCATTTATTCAGGTTGAGTTATTGTGGCATCCCAGATGAAGGTTGTGCTGCTCTGAGTTCAGCTCTGAGATCAAACTCCTCACATCTGAGAGAACTGGATCTGTCTAAGAATAATCTAGGAGTTGCAGGAGTGAAGCTGATCTCTAATGGACTGAAGCATCCTCTCTGTAAACTGGAGAAACTGACGTAAGATCATACATTAATCTCAACTGAGAAAAGAATCATATTATTTTAAGGATCTATCTGTATGTTATTCAGATCATATCAATTTACATTAACACACAATAAAGCTAAACGTTATAACAAGTAATAAATGATTAAACTCATTTGTTTGCAGCCCAATGTGATGTCACATTAGGGTAAGGCCCGCCCACAATTGGTGATGTAATCTGCCCTATTAACTTCTCCCCTGAGTGAGCTGCATGCAGTCAATATTCATCTTCTCACTAGAGCAGCTAGCACTAACACAATAATGCTGCCTTTCTTAATGTGTTTGTAAGCATGTTGCACAGCTAATGTGGCTGAAGTTGCCATCGTCTCTGTATTCACAGAGACCAGAGATATGGCATCATTTTTATGCTTAGAAACATTATGATTTTGTGTATATTTTGACTGATCTAAATAACTGAATAGCAAAGAGTGGCCAGGATGCTCTGCTCTGATACAAATACAAAAATATTATTATTTTGTGTAGTCATCATCTATAACACTATAGACACAGCCAGGTTTACTAATTGAAAAATTTATTTGTGATGAAATAATTACATTATAATTACATTGGAATCTTACACACATGCTATACAGTTCATCTGAGCCGTGCATTAATTTGAGTGATGACAGATATTATGGGAGTGGCTTGATGGAGCGCAGGAGATGCAGATAACATGATCTTGACCCTTAAAAAACTTTAATTAATGCTGTCACATAACAAATCTGCTTCAAAGATAAAATTAAATGAATTGCTAATTACAACACTGAAATAAAAATGTCTTACAAATACTAGAAATCATGAATATAAATAATTGGGAATCATTTAAAAAAAAATAAAAACAGTGCACATTTCATTTATCTATTATTACATTTATGTAGTTTTGTTCGCTTGGCTGTTTCCAGAAATTTGTCAAGCTTTTCGTCAGGCATCTTTTTTAGTTATATGATGTAATCACGTTGCTGTCTTGCCGCCAGCCAATCGCTGCGTTGCTGATCGTGGTTTCGAGTATCGATACATCTGCCCTTTACGGGGAACACGAGAACGCGCACTAATAGACAACTTAATCATCAAATTTGTTTGAAGAACCAAATTAGCCAGAGATCAGTTATCATGATTAGAAGATCTGGCATCTTTCAAATAATCTCAGATGTATTAAGCAAAGTACGAAGAACGGACCCCTGGCCAGAACAGTGCCATCAGATTTTAACCCTAACAACAAAAACACTGGAATGAGGATTTCAAACCTGAAAACACTTAGGACATGGACATGGTATCATAAATGATCTGAGGGGTATTTTGAGCTGAAACGTTACTGAAACTTTCTAGGGACACCTGGGCCCGTATTCTTAAAGCTTCTAAGAATCCTCTCAGAAAGCTCCTAATTTAGCTTTAAAAATTCTATGAAGGAGTCTTAGCTTAAGAGTGATTCAGGACCAATCTGAGATCAACTCTGAGCAAGGAAAAGACAAATGCTGCGTCTCAATGTGCCTACTTATACTACGCCCTTAAAATATGTACTCTTATTTTATATACATACAATCATGAAAACGTTTCAGTTTTTTATGTATTATTATTGCACAAGTGTCTGTATGTAATGTCTGTGGCTAAGCGCAACATAAGTGGCTCAGTGGGAAATGCTGTCTCCTCACAGCAAGAAGATCTCTGGTTCGAGTCCCAGCTGAGCCAGAAACTCTTTCCCTCACAATCTAAAGAAGTGTGAATCACAGATGCTTAATTGTCTAAAGGTGTAGCTGTGTTTTTTACTGCCTATCGATGGAGCCGTTGCTGAATTGTTGTTGTTGTTTTTTTGGCTTTTTTATGGCTCAGTTTTGGGGTTTCTGGTTAAAGGCTGGTCTCTATGTGGTTTACTGAAGGCTGAGATTGGGTAGCACTATTAAAACTTGTTCTGGCCCAGCTCAGGGCTGGTTATAAGTTACTATTCGGCTGAGATTTGGGCCAGTTATGGCTCATGTCTGTAGTCCAGATCTGGGCCAAACAAGGGCCGTAATTCTTTGCTGCATGCAAGCTGGGCCAGAAGACAATTGCTATGTGGGCTGTCACTGTAAACTGGCCTGTCAATCATCTTGTCACAGTTAACATTCTCCACATTGCATTTCATTTAACTTCCTACCGTATTGGAGAGAAAAGAAGTAGCACATTGATCTGCCAGTCGCGGGTCTTTTTCTCGCGTCCTTCCGAGTTTGTTCTTTCAAGGTAGCCTGGCAAGACCGGTCTCCATGAGAACACAAGTTCGTTCTTTGCGTTCTTGGAATTGAGAAACAGCCATTGTTTGCACCTGTGTCTCATTAGTATTGCTAGCTCACCCTATGGTGAGCGTGATTTTACCAAGTACAACATGTTCCTGGATCAACATCTTTGTTGATCCTGGAACAACATTCCAATCAACCAGTCAGAATTGAAGGATAACTTAGGATTGAAGGATTGATTTAGGCTTATGATCAGGGTTAGGTGCTTCTACACCCTTGGTAATCAGCTATCATTTCACACTGATTTTAGGAATAAATTATGGGTAGGGTTAGGTTTAGGGGTAGGGATTGGGTTAAGGCTATATTTTTGGACAGTAATGTTGATCCAGGAACATGTCTTACTTGGCAAAATCACAGCGACCTTCATGCGGAGAACTCTGCTCATATTTTATGCATAATGATGCATTTAAAAATTAACGACCAAATGGTTGTTTATAAAAGTTCACATTGCTGTTGCAGATTAAATATAACATGGATAACAATAAATACATATTTTTTACCAGGTTAAATGTTGATTATTAGTAACTAATAATCTACCTAACCGTTGATCGCGCGCATCCGCCCCGTTTGTAGTTTTTCTAAAGAATTTTATTAGTGTTTGTAGTTCTGGACCGAATCCTTCGCCAAAGCGCAATTTTAGCCATTAGAGTGTGCACAGATCCACACTTCAAAAATTGACCTGAAATAGTAGACCATCCGGGGACTTTCGGCATACTCTTTTCAACATACTATGCTTTGGGACACACTTATTCTAATCTCACATACTATTTGGGATGGATAGTATGAACATTGAGACACAGGGAAAAACTTTGATCTTAGTGAGGAGGCGGGCCTGACCCCATTGCTAGGTATGACACAGCCTTATGAAGACTGTGATTGGTTGGTTGTCCCACCAGCACAAGTGTAGGGTCTATATAAGCCTTGACTTTGAAATTATAGGTGTAAGTTTTTCTGTTTTACCACACACACACACACACACACACACACACATTATCAGTGTTGGGCAAGTTACTTCCCAAATGTAATACATTATATATTACTAGTTACTGTCTTTTGAAAGTAATTAGTTACATTACAATATTACTGTCTCTGAATTGTAATGCGTGACACTACTTTTGAGTTACTTTCACCAAAATATCCACATAAGTATTATAAAATGCCCAAATGTAGTTTATTGCTGCTCATTCTACACCCAGTGGAGGGTAATGTGGTAGGTCTATATAGCATACAATTATAAAATCATATTTAGATGCCGGTATGTTTTTTATTTACCATGCTGTCATACTTAACATATTTTATAGGAAATGAACAGCGACACAATAAGGTTCTGAAAGTGCTGTAATTGTTTGTGTGATCACTTTGCTTATAGAAGTTTGTGACATACCCAAATCATCACTGCTGCACAGTTGCATTTTTTCAGCTGCCAAATATGTTAATGTAGTTAATGTGATTACTTCCATTTCTGGCACTATGGTATTTTCATGCTATGTCGGCGATGTTAGCATGTCTCTAATAAGATCGGTCACAAACATGATCTCTGCAATATCTAATGTGTAGCATCTTAAATCATTGTCTTGTATTGTGTGCAACTAATTTCTTCTCCCTCTTCATGTTTTGTCAATTTTCTCCACTGCTAAAGAAACTCTTAAGCCTCTTAAAAGTCCTCGTCCGTACTCCTAACAATTTTGGACCTTAAGACCTCTTTTAAGGGTTATAATACTTTCTGAATTACTTTTTTCTTTACTAGGATCTTTTCTTTAATTTTAAGAGGAAACACCCACATTTCTAAGAATTTTCTTAGAATTCTGTCACTAGGAGCAACTCTTTGCACTAAGACTTTTCATGAATACGGGCCCAGGGACTTATATTACATCTTGTAAAAAGGGGTGTCACAGTTTAATTTTAAAATACTTTAATGTTATAGTGTCTCTGTGTTTGTGTGCTTGTCTCTGCTGAACTGAGAGTGAAGAGTGTGTTGTTCTGCAGGTTGAGAGATTGTGGCGTCACAGCTAAAGGTTGTGCTGCTCTGAGTTCAGCTCTGAGATCAAACCCCTCACATCTGAGAGAACTGGATCTGTCTGGGAATAAACTAGGAGTTAGAGGTCTGAAGCTGCTCTCTGATGGACTGAAGCATCCTCGCTGTAAACTGGAGAAATTGGGGTAAGAGCATACAGTGTTTCCCCTGCCATTATTTTAGGGGGGCGGCCCGCCCCCCTAAAATTAAGCAAACTAAATAGCCTTATGTTATTTATCTTATTTACACGACGGCATGTAAATTCTGTGATATTACTCATTTTCAATACTATTTTTGGCAGATAGGGTGGATAGTATGCACATTGGGATGCAGGGCCTGTCATTTTTCTGCAGGTTGTGGGATTGTGGCGTCACAGCTGAAGGTTGTGCTGCTCTGAGTTCAGCTCTGAGATCAAACCCCTCACATCTGAGAGAACTGGATCTGTCTGGGAATAAACTAGGAGTTAGAGGTCTGAAGCTGCTCTCTGATGGACTGAAGCATCCTCGCTGTAAACTGGAGAAATTGGGGTAAGAGCATACAGTGTTTCCCCTGCCATTATTTTAGGGGGGCGGCCCGCCCCCCTAAAATTAAGCAAACTAAATAGCCTTATGTTATTTATCTTATTTACACGACGGCATGTAATTTCAGTCTCTACGTTATGGTCGCGCTCTCTGTATCACGCACAGCGGAGTTCCGCCCGATGCGCGCGCGCGCACACACACACACACAAGTGATGAACAACATCTCCAGAACTGCTCTGAGAGTCACTTCATGAGCATTTGACCGTTTCATTTGAGTAAAACTATCATCATGTCATACACACACAGAAATGTAATGGTATTCACGGCAACCCGTCAAAATAAAAGTTTGGTTTAACTTGAGGGCATTGGCAGAAATATATTACTATTGTTGAGTAGAATGTACGTAACAGACTGCTACTACTACTAGTAAAATTATTAAAACCTTATTTTTAAGGAATAAGCATTCAATACTTCTTCAATGTTTTAATTGTAATATTAAATGACCTTTATTTTCCAAAAAATTAAATTTGTTTAATTTTCATTACTTAAAAGATAGATTAAATGAATGTTTTATGCCTTAAAACAAAATGTAAATACACAACACAGAATTTCTGAGCAAAAAAATCATAAGGCTATTGTAAGAATAAATGAAACTTGTTTTATGCTTTCAAATTAGACATGCTAAAACAGAATTTGGTTACAATAAAACATAAGGTTGGACAAATAAAACATTTCATAGGGCCCTAAACGTAATATTTGTTAAACTTTTAATAAATTGATGTTAAATTGTTTAAGTTTCATGATTTTAATTAATTAGACATGCTTTTTGATTAATAAAATGTAATTTAACCATTAAAAAGGAGTCCAGAAAAAAAAAGAAAAAAAAAAGCCGTAAACCTAGGGGAAACACTGGCATATATTAATCTCAGCTGAAACAATTATATATACTATACCAAGGGTCTGTCATCGTAATTATGTTCAGATCACAGTGATTTACATTAACATACAATAAATCAGTAGTAAACAAAAACTAATAGAAACGTTAAACCCACACAGATTTGGGATTTAATATTATAGTCACTGTGTTTGTGTCATTTTTTCTGCAGGTTGAGTAAGTGTGGCGTCACAGATGAAGGTTGTGCTGCTCTGAGTTCAGCTCTGAGATCAAACTCCTCACACCTGAGAGAACTGGATCTCATTGGGAACACACTACGGCAGTCAACTGTGAAACTGTTCTCAGCTTTAAAAGATGATCCACATTATAAACTGGAGACACTGCTGTAAGTAGTAATGATTAAAATCATATCATATTATTAAAATAATTTGAACTCCGACCCATGTACAGATGTGTGTCAGCAGTAATGCTCATTAATGCATCTGTTACTGTGTGTGTCATTCTGTACTGACAGGTATTAAATGATGGTGAATGTGGGGCCTCAGACACATGAAAGCCCACACAGAATCAACAGAACTGAAGTCACAGTGATCAAGCGCTGATTGGGAGGGGGGTAACATAAAGTGTACTTCAATTTCAAATAGGGCTGCACGATAAATCGCATGCGATATTTAACGCGCATCTTGTCAGAAAGCCGGTTCTGTAATCAGCGGTAAATCTCCATCACGTCCGTGCTTTCACATTGAGCCGCATTAACTATTAATGCATTTTTCTGTCACAAATGTCTAGATTTCTCTGTCAATATTACTTCTAATGTAATGTGACAGTTAAGGTGTGAATTTTTGCTCTAAGTGTATTTCACAAAGCGTTTTAGCACTAAAACGAGCTCCTAAATCTGTGAAACGTTAGGAGTAGTGAAGAGGACTCCTACGTCACTAAAACCAAGCCACAAAACTATCCTAAAATGTCTGTTGCTGGCAATCTGCCTGAACGTAAATATTTTAGAAACATTTGATGATAATGATCTTTTAAAGAGGTATCACCTTTGGTTTTGGAGGTTATCCCAACTCCTAATTTTCCTTTGATTATATCCTTGTTTTCATTAACCAGCTGGGCAAGTAGTAACAGCTGTTCTTGCATCCAGAAGTAACAGCTGTGCTTGTGTCCAGTTTGGTTTTCTTTTACGTTTGCATGTCTTACTATCAGCCATGATTATTCTACTCTGTTAATTAAAAGGCTGTTTATGTGTATATTCGTTAATTGTTTTTGAGAAGCATACATGTAAGAGGCTGACAATAAGCTGAACATATACTTGTTTAATTAGTGACACTTATCCTGCATTTTAAAATCTTTATTTGAATGTGGCAATTAACATTTTAATTTTTAAACCTTTATTTGAATATGGCAACATAATATCAAGCTCTTCAATATTTCTATGAATAAATCTCTGACAGAGACTATAAGCCAATCACTGTGTGCATAGTTAGTAAGTATG